AATGGGAGAGTTGGCCATCGCATTGAGTTGCCAAATTTGCACCCTTCAGCCAATAAAGCATATGCATGTCAAACCCCACAAATACTGCAAGTCCATTTCAACCCCCTGCACAACATAATACATGCAACAGCACATAATGATAATAAATGCTACACAAAATAAAATATGCACAAGACTAACCACACTACCCCAAGTTGTGCCTCCCTAAATTTCCTGCAGTTTCCAATATCTCTCGACAGTGCTAAATTAGCTCAGCACCATGGGGTGCAATAGTACACTGAAGAAAACTGTGATGTTAGAACATGTCCATAAAATAGCTATGTACAAACGGTAGATGGCCCATCTTGCGGCACTGAATACTAAGATGAAAGAAGCTAAACTCATTCTTAATAACCCCAGATAAGAAGCTACCTTTAAATCAACACAGTCAGTGTATCACTGTTCACATTGATTGGTACCATTTGTCAATGAATATTCAATGCTTAACTGTTGGGAAAGGCTGTCAGTGTGGAATTTTGTCTGAAACACAAAGCTGAATAAATGGACATTTGTAGTTGTTTCTCACTGTTAGGACTGTCACTGTTATGCTCAACATTGTCTCTTGTTGGCAAGCGACCTACTGCTTTATAGCATTTTATATTTTTTGTTCTGGTTTATGTATTTAACCCCTGGATGAGTGCGAAACGTACATATAGCAACTAATGAAGATGTTGATAACTATGTATCCTTTTTAGCTTCATCTATAAATAATACAGACATAGGAGCTGCTTGCCCATCCCATCTGTATATTTCCTTATTCATCATTACTTGCAAAACCACATTGATTTCCAATTGTAGCATCAAGATTTTAGTTTAAATTGGCTGTCATTCCATGTGCAGTATTGCATTGGCTTAATGAGTTTACAGTTTACTGAGAAACAGTCCATGAAAACAGACAGGCAACCCGAGACTAATAGATGACTCTGTTGTGTCAGATTACAGAGCTGCACTCATTACAGCTCCACCCCAGCAACTGCATTGTAATGTGTTTGTAGAATTAGTTTAGTCCATTTTTAAAAAGGAATTCATTGTACTACTTGAAATATTTTAAGTTGCAATATTAATTCATTTCCGCAATGAATCTGTGTCAATAGGTATGTATTTAATGTTCCTTTGATGTAAATTCAATAATTTAATATCTATGCATTCTTGAAGTGTTCAAACTCCTAGTGCTTGAAAAAATGAGGAATAAAATTTACCATTGTACAAAATGCATTTATATTAAAATAAAAATGTACACTCAACTACCGTATCAACATTGATTCAATGTTGATTTAATATTTCATGGGTTTTGATGTTACATCAATTGAAATGATGAAAAAAATGTTAAATGAACATTGAATCCATCTATCATTTTGATATTGTGCTATTATGTTATTGTCCTTATGTTGACACATCTTCAGTTCAATGACCAAAGTGATTTTGATTCATCATCAGATTTACTTGCTGAGTTGACATGTCATCATTGGAAACAAATCCATAGTAACAATTTTAATTTTGCTACGTTACTCAGATACAAGTAGAAATGCCTTACATCACGAGTACATTACTGTGAAATGGAACATGAAGGTAACACATATGGTAAAAAGAGACTTCAACTTTGCCAAGTTAATGTTCTAAAAGAATGCGGGAAGTATTAGGTAACACTGGTTTGCAATAGTGCCTCTGTGGGTGTGTGTTAATGTGGCCTAAACTTCCAGTTCCAATGTCGATGTCATACAGCTGTCAGTACTTTCAGTGGGAGAACTAAGGTGTTTAGAATTAGTTGTTTTGTCTGTCCACAATCACTGGGAGCCCAGGGCAGTGAAACAAATTGGCTTCATTCCACAGGAGAGAGGGGCGGGCAATTGTTTGTGTTATATTGGTTATATGAATCTGAGATGTTTAGCATTTAATTGTTCATACAGATGATAACTACGCAATAATCATGTTAGCTTCCTAGTGCAAGCCTAGCATTCGTACCAGTAAATACAGTTTGAAACGTGGTCATATTGTAATAGTTGTGGATAATTGTCCTTGTTAAAAGACACCTGTACGCTGTTTATATGTATGTAAAAGAAAGCATTGTTGTCCAATATGTGTACACCGAGTGCTTTTCTGCATTACTTTTGTATTCTCAGTGTAATAGCGGCCGCTTTAATTTGCTGCATCATGCTAGGGTAGCTAAATTAGCAGCTGGCCACCTTGTTAGAAAACACGAGAACTGTACTGCTTGATTTGTTATTTAGATGTTATTGCATAATTCCTTGAAGTGCAGTTATGATTAGTATGTTTATTGCTATTTGGTGTTTACATTGTATCATGGGGTAAGCAAGTTTTATCAGGATCTTTAGACCATTTTCCATACAAGTATTATGTAAAGAGAATAGCAGTATTGGCAATGTACATATTAATGACTGTTGTATAAGGAGAAATCTGTATGTTACTCATGATATAGTTTTTTTCTCCTTTTCTTTATTAGACCACGCACACACATACACACCTACACATACAAGTAATCCTGTGCATTAAGGACTAAATAATATAAGAAATTTATTGTGTCAGTGCATAACTGGTGGTGGCTAAGATTAAAGTTGTTCTAGGACATCTGGAGTCTTGTCATCTCTAACCGGATGCTTGTGGTGGCTGTCAACTGATCTTGAATCAGCTCAGAGTAAATTTCACAAAGTCTTCACAACAGGACATATACTGTATATGTACTCAGTGTCACTGAATAAAAAGTCAGGATACGTAAGCCTGTACTGAAGGGTAATACCAGTAATACTGGTATGCAATATGTGCTTATTTTTAAAGAGACAGAAATATTGACCATGTCAGGTACAGTTTATGCATGTGCCCCAAATTTTCATAATCATGTTATGCATGATATCAATGCTGTGCTTCAGTATGGTTTCCAGCCATCTTGAATGGTGTATTATCACATATCAGTTCACTTCAGTGTAAACAAAATTAATGTTCATGAATGGCTTTATGTAGGTTTGTGTACTATTCATTAAAATGTAATAGGCATCTTAAAGAACATGCTTATTACATCCTTTGTTACAAGTATTTGCGACCCAACTTCTAATGCAATAACCTATACACAATTGTTAGATGTTTTAACTTGTTGTTACATTAAGTGGCAATGTCCATGTTAGAAGAGTGAAGTCATTAACTGAAAATAGCTAAATACAATCATTGCATCATCTGTGAATCAGCTACTGCAAAAGGTTGCCATTTAGATGTGTACTGAAAAAAATACTGAATATATTATCTCACAAACAAACTCATGGGAGAAGTTTTTAAACTTTAAGTAGCTCTCAGCAAGGTGATTTATGGGAGGCTGCAGGGTCTACAACTTTACAGAAAAAAAATCTTACATCAACTGACAAACTAGCAAAAATGCCATGAGTAACAATCACTCCCTCAAAATGACACATATATTAACATTTGAATCATGATCCAAGATGCTTATAAAAGACACGGCCCACCCAGGGAAAACAAAAAACATTCAAAGTGAGCTGTGTATGTAATCTGCTCCTGTAACAGTTTGTATATTCATATTCATATTCATATATAGTTTTTATATTCAGTCTCTATTCATGTGATAGCTTCAAGGACTGGCACACCGTTTTGGAAAAAAACGAAAACATGTTGACTCATCCGAATGTGACGAGTTTGAGTATATACCTTCCACATTAGCATCATTTTAAAACAGCTTTATGACTGAAGATTATAATTACAAATATATTGCATAATATTTGAGTCTAATTTCTAATGAAGTAATGCATGTGTGCAGAAGCTAAATATATCATCAGGTCATACAATTTTAAAATTCACCTAAAAACAATATTTTTTCTTATGTATTAATGTGCTTTTTCAAACAGTGCAAGCAACAGCCAGGAAACTCTGATGATTTATAGACCTTTTAGATGAGTTTAGGTCCATTTCTGATAAAAGGATATGAGCAATATAACCAAGCTAAATCACAGGGTAACTTTAAAACAAAATGCCAAACAGCATAATTTGAATGTACCAAAGATTGAGGGTGATGAGAAAGATACACACACAGCTTCTTTTTCTAGAAGAGGAAGATTTTTCTTTGGCAGTAACTAGTGAACATAATATACACAATTTACTGCTTTGCCTGTGCAACAGTGGAAAATGGCCATTTTCTGAACATGCTATTCAACACATCCAAAGCCTGTGTTTCTTTCTTGCAGACATTATTTCTCACTTACATTGCAATATATGAATTTTGTGTTTGTGTGACCAGCTTAAATGTATGCATGAGGCTATTGCATATTTGCATATGTGTGAACAGTGGCATGAAAAAGTATTTACTCCCTTCCTGATTTTCTCTTTTATCAAACGTTTCTCTCAGTGAATGGTTTCATGTATCAAAAAACCGTAACATTAGTGTAGCGAAGGGAGAGAGCAGTCACCCCACCTGGCCTTGAACCCAGGTCTACAGGGTACGAAACTGCAGCTTTGACCGCAATGCCAAAGAGCCAGGCTCGTTGGTATGGCAGTCAGAGCGCATACTCAACCGTAGTGACGGCACTCTGTCACACTGCTCTCCCCTTCAGGAAACGCGCCCATGCGCTTCATGCACAGAGGTCCCTTGCGCATCCCCCACCGTACTTCTCCCATCCCAGGTGCCCCACTCACTCGGGGTCCCTCACACCGGGGTCAACCTAACCTGGGGGTCCCTCATACGGCTCACACACCGGGCACACCTCCGATGGCCTCGCGGCAAGCCATCCCACTCTGACACCATTTGTAGTGAAGGCAGACAGCAGTCACCCCACCCGGCCTTGAACCTGAGTCTATGGGGTTCCAAACCTGCAGCTTGACCACCAAGTTAGGTTGACTTCGGTGTGAGGGACGCGCATGGGCGCGCTTCCCGAAGGGGAGGGCAGTGTGACGGAGTGCCTTCACTACGGTTGAGTATGCGTTCTGACTGCCATACCAATGAGCTTGGCTCTTTGGCATTGTGGTAAAGTTGTAGGTTTGGAACCCCATAGACCCGGGTTCAAGGCCGGGTGGGGTGACTGCTCTCTGCCTTTGCTACAAATGGTGTCAGAGGTGGGATGGCTTGCTGCAAGGCCATTGGAGGCGTGCCCAGTGTGTGAGCCGTATGAGGGATCCGCAGGTTAGGTTGACCCCGGTGTGAGGGACCCCAGAGATGGGTGAAGCATGAGTAAGTGGGGCACCCTGGGATGGGAGAAGTATGGTGGGGGAATGCACGAGGGACGCCTCTGTGCGTGAAGCGCATGGGCGCGCTTCCTGAAGGGGAGGGCAGTGCGACAGAGTACCGTCACTACGGTTGAGTATGCGCTCTGACTGCCATACCAATGAGCCTGGCTCTTTGGTGTTGCGGCCAAGCTGCAGGTTTGGTACCCCGTAGACCTGGGCTCGAGGCTGGGTGTGGTGACTGCTCTCTCCCTTCGCTACAATTAGACAAGAAAAACCTGAGAGAACAGTTTTTAAATCATTATTTCATTCATTTCTTTCTGTTTTAAAACAAAGAAATCAACACAGGTTCAATTCAAATCAGAAATCAATTCAGGTGACTGAACACAGCCAGGCTTGATTACAACCAGCCCTGTTGAGTTTAAATGGCATATATATGGAACCTTACCATCAGAGAGAAGTAGTCACCAAAAGGCTTCTACAGACACACAATGCCATGATCAAAGGAACTTCCAGAACAGCTGAGAAAAAATTTGTTGAGATGTATCAGTCTGGAAAGGGTTACAAAGCCATATCTACGGTTCTTGGACTCCGAACTACAGTGCGAACCATTATCTCTAAATGAAGAAGACTTGGAGCAGTGGTGAATATTCCCAGGAGTAGTCATCCTGCAAAATTTTCTGCAAGGGCACAGCGGCACCTCATCCAGGAAGTCTCAAAAGATCCCAGAAAAATTTCCAAAGAACTGTAGGCCTCTCTAGCATCAGGAAAGGTTATTGTTCATGACTCAATAAGAAAGAGATTGTGCAAAAATGGGCTTAATGGAAGAGTAGCAAGGTGGAAACCACTGCTCACCAAATAAAAAACATCAAAGCTTGTCTCATGTTTGCTAAAAAGCACCTGGACAATCTTCAAGGATTTTGGGATAATATTCCATGGACAGTGAGTCAAAAGTGGAACTTTTTGGAGGGTGCAAGTCTTCCTATGTGTGGTGTAAATTGAATACAGCATTCCACTGTAAGAACATACCTACAGTGAACCATGGTGGTGGTAGTGTGATGATAAGGGAATGTTTTGCTGCCTCAGGAACTGGATGACTTGCTATCATTGAAGGAAGCAGAAATTCTGCTATGTACCAGACAATTATTAAGGAGAATGTCTGACCATCTGTGCATGAGCTGAAGCTAAGGCTTAATTGGGTGATGCACCAGGACAATGATCAAAAAAAACAGAAGCAAATCCACCTCCTAATGGCTAAAAAGAAGCAAAATAAAAGTTTTGGAGTGCCCTAGTCAAATTTCTGACTTGAATCCAATAGAGATGATGTGGTAAGACTTGAGAAGAGCAGTTCACGCTCAAAGACCTACCGATCTGCCAGAGTTAAAACAGTTCTGCAAAGAAGATTGGGCTAAGATTTCCACACAGAGATGTGCAAGGCTCATATCCAATTATAAGAAGTGTTTAGTTGCAGTTATTGCCACTAAGGGTGGTTCAACCAGATATTAGGTTTAAGGGGCATTTACTTTTTTACAGGGGTGACATGGGTGTATGTTATTTTCACTGAAGGAAGACAATAAACATCAAAACACTATGTTTTGTGTTTACTCAGATTCCCTTTGTGCAATATTACAATTTGTTTGAAAATCTGAAAGCATTCAATGCTCCAAATAGGCACGACTAGAGAATATCAAGAAGGGGCCACAAACTTTTAAATACCAGTGTATATGCATATAGAGACACAAATATCTGTCCACATATAGGCACATTCCAGTGTCTCCAAGTCTGTGTGTTGGGTGTGTGTGTATGTTTATGCTTATGTTTAGTACTGTACCCCACTATCACTGTACTGTACTCCACTATCACTGCAGTGTACCCCACTACCACTGTGCTGTACCCTACTATCATTATGCTATACTCCATCCTTTCTGTGACATCACAGGTTATTTCTGCCAGACTACAATCCACCATTGTAAAGCAGCTGGAGTGACTCACTTTCAGGTTTTTCCAAGGTGCTGTGGCTGTTTGACAAACTCACCTCAGTGGAAACAATGTCGGATTCATTTATTCTAACACCCAGCATTAAATGCTCCTTCACTCTTTCAAACAAAGCAACCATTGGACCACATTCATGCCCCATGGCCCCCCACCAGTTTCTAACAAGCATGAGTGAGCCAGGTAATGTTCAGAGCCTCATTTCCACTCAATTACAGTTCAGTAAACACATTTCAATTGAATCAGTCAATAAATGGTCTGGTTTTTTGGGTTCAGAAATGAACCTAAAACGCTGACCCCTGATGTCTCTATTTAATTGCATTAGGGTACATCAGTACAGTCTGAATAGGCCGTGCACCAGGAAGGAGTGGATTATGGGTACATGCAGTGGCAGATTGCCATAGCAGTCCATCTTCTCCATGCATGTACTTTCCTGTGGGTTCAAAACAGGCTGCACCTTTCGACAGGAAGTGCTCTGCCGAAGTTCCGCCCCCAGTGGCCCCGCCTCTCCTGCAACATTTCAAACACACAGTCAGGGCAGGATGTGCGCGGGGTGTGCGCTGCTCCGCCGATGTTCACCACCTTCCTCTCATTGTTCTGTTGCTCCCTGTCTCCATCCCTCCCTCCTCCTCCCACTCAGTCACTCTCTCCCTTACATCTTGATCCCTGATGCTGTGCTGGCTTCAGTCATCACTTTGAGGTGTCAGTGTGATCAGCATGTTGGTGTGGTCATAGTGCTGGGGTGGTAGTGCATTATGAGTGTTAGAGTGATTAGAGTGGTCAATGCCAGATTGTGTGAAGTCATCAGTGGCAGTTTCAGAGTTCCATCATAATGTCTATACCGTTGCTTGAAATGGGGAGTCAGTTTTCACAGTATTGTCACTTCACTCATGATATGTGTGATTAGAGGTGCACTGTTTCAGAGAGTTGCATCTGTCCCTCTCTCTGTCTGTAGTTATAGTGTGTGTGTGTGTGCGTGTGTGCTGCCCTTTTGTCTCAGTGGAGCAGCTGTCTCAGGTTCATGCAGTCAGACTGCTCAGGCACTTCAGGAGAGAGAGCAACGTACAGGGTGTATGACACGTGTATATGACTGTGTGTGTGTGTGTGTGTGTGTGTGTGTGTGTGTGTGTGAGTGTGTGTATATGTTACTGTGTGTGTGTGTGTGTGTGTGTGTGCCAGTATTTGAGGGTGAATGTTTGAGTGTATATGTGAAAATGCATGTTAGTGTGTGAATGCATGCATGTGTAAGAGTGTGTGAGTGTATGTGAACACATGTATGACTGTTTCTCAGTCTCACTCCATGTTCCGTTCTCTGTCTTCCCTGTGTTTGTTGCTTTAATATCTTCTTTCATTAAGACTAGTAAATGAGCTTATTGTCCCTTAAGGGTCTATTCAGTCTGGAGATAAAAAAGGGAAGAGATCTTACAGAGATCAATAACACACTGAAAAAGGTATCACATTTTGTAATGACTCACAAAGCACTTCTTCAACTTCAGTTTTTTTTAGAAAGGAAGAAAGTGTTGTGTAAGTTGTGACAAAAATAAGTCTGGCAAGCTACCATCTCAGTGGGTGGAAGTCTGTATTTCTGTTTCATTGTAAAAGAAGCTTTCTGATCCCAATGACCCTCAAAGGATCTTGGGTAATGTAGTCATTTCAAAAGCAAACAACTTTCTTCTGCCCTGACTACAAAGCCACATTGTTTGTTGAAAGTTTGGGCACTTCATCTCTCAGTATACAATGTCACAGGTTTTGACAGCAGGCAAATCAACTGAAATCCTTCACCTGTGGTTCTGATTTTTTATAAATAAACAATCCATGCTCAACTTCAAATGTACATGCAATGAAACTAGAGGAGTCGTCGAAGTACAAGGGTCATGGTGCTTTATAACACTGCTTCATAAATGACTGCATTCTCTAGATCAATCACATTTCACACTGTATAATCACCATGGATACATCCTGTGATCAAGGTCACACAGTTGCATATCTCCTGGACCCCCCAAAAATATTGTGCGTATGCAAATCAGGATCATGGCTTCAAACATTTTTTTCATTAACTTCATTCAAATTTATTCCTCTGTTTGGGGAGCAGGTGGGTCAATAATTTTAACCTCTGCTAATTCAATATGCCTCAAAACAATTATGTACAGCCATACTTAACAGCTGCATAATTTATCACTAAAGACTCCTTAGTTTACTTTCATGAGTGTAAAAGATGTTGCTTGCTGGTTGGTGAGGATATTTAAAGTTTAGATGCCCAAGATAACTCAATTCTGTAGAACAGAATCCGATAAGGAATATATTCACCCTATATTTGCTTCCATATACTGGTGAGTGTAAATGAGTGTGCTGAGTGTTGACCCACTGATGTAATGTACTGCATATGTCATGTACCTTCTACCTGAAATCTTGCACTTAGAGGAGGAAACATGTATCTTATATATAACTCAATCTACAGTACAGTTTGATACAGTGTAATACTAACAGGGGAAAAACGCTCTACTCTAATCTATGATAGTATCATAATATTCCAATGTATCTGGTGTGAAATCTGTAATACTCCTAATATTCCCATATGTTCCTTGCACAAAAAAATGAATTAAATTATTAATCACTGATAATGAAAACTGAAATTACACAGAGATGTTTTAATGAAAAGAAACTCTTGCAGAGAATAGACACACAGTAGAACAGTGCTGTACCTGTGTAAGGAATGGTGAAGCTCATGGGTACTGGCAGTGGTATACATGTGATTGTTTGGTGATGAAAGTGCATGGTGAATCATGGTGTCCATTGTCAACACGTGACATTAAACTCTCTGTATTACCATAGTGATTTTGAGATGAGGTACTACATTAGGATATTA